ATAAAGTTAAAGTAAAGTTAAAGTAAAGTTAAAGTAAAGTTAAAGTAAAGTTAAAGTAAAGTTAAAGTAAAGTTAAAGTAAAGTTAAAGAAAAGTTAAAGAAGTTTCGTGAAAAAGGCCCCTGGAATCAATCCCCAATGCTTTCCACGCTGTATCCGATCTTTCCCCACAGACACCGCGAGGGAAGACATTCGAATTAGACAAATTCGTCTGTAGAGGTGACCCAGTCCGATGAGTCTTCTAGGAACTCCGACTCGAAGGATGGGGGGAGGATCCTTCAAGTTTCCAGTTGACTCCATGGAAAGCTCACGGGATTAGCACGTAAACATCAACACTTTAAGTCATGCACTCCGGGGTAGGATTATTCCTAATGGCGTTCACTGCACGCTGGTAGTACCTTAATAGTAGCTATTTGAACATTCATTGATCGTTTCGGTGCTACTTGGGAAGTTTTAATTCGATGTTGTTATTGAACGTAGGAATAACGTTCATTCGACACTCTCGAGTTTAACGTTGCTTTGAGCGCTTCTACAAGGAACATTTCAGTGCTGTGCTAACGCTCGCTGCAATGATGGAGCAGCGTTAGAAGTGAACGTTATATTTGCAATTAGCAATTCTCCAACGCATTTTTGAAAGCAACGATGCCCCTGCTCTACAACTTCAACACCACTGTGCCAAATTCTCCAAATCCATTTCTGCAATGTCCCCAAACTCTAGATCAGAGGTTCTTAATCTGGGATTCATGGGGTAGGTCCAGGGGGTCCGTGGAGGGACATGGAAAATTAAATATATAATTGAAGGTAGTTCCAGAAAAACATCATATATTGGGTTGGAAAGAAAGTCTTGCAACACTTTCTAAAACAATTTATAAAAATTTTCAAAGGAATGATGGGCGGGGCTTTGCATTTGTATATGCTGGAANCTGAAATTGCATTTCAATAAAGTTATAAAATTTTGACAAATTTGCGCAGTGTTGCAAGACTTTCTTTCCAACCCAATATAATCACAAATCCAGGTGTTCCAAAGTTTCTGATAACCAGGGGTGGGGGTCCACGGGTAATACTTTAGGATCTGGGGGGTCCGTTGGCGGAAAAAGGTTAAGAACCCCTGCTCTAGATGTTTGTCCGCAGATGATGACACGAAATGTCCGATTCTCCGTCTCCGATTCTCCCTGGTACTCGTCGAGGAAGCCGCCTCTTGTCTTCGTAATAGTGCCGAGACAGAAGTGAACGTGAATACTCAGCAAACAATTTGAAACGCATAACGTTGAATCAGCATTCGATAAACGTTCGGAACGCTGACACGACGCTGGTCCAACGTAGTCTTGTTTGCTGGGTATATCCTAATATGATATAATGATGATAATAACATGGTATAAAAAGGCAATAAAGGTGTGAGGACTGTGGCGCAGCCAGATTTTCGCCATAAGGAGGGCTAAGAAGAACAGAGGGAAGACTAGTAACTTCTCCTCGGGCAGGGGTGGGAGGGGAAGGGGATGCCGGACACATTTTGACCAGAGTTGGGGGGACTGGAACCAAACTTGAGGGAGCTGAAGTCCTCCCAGCCCCCCCTCTCGCTACGCGACTGAGCGAGGGTCACACAAAAGTTGCTTGCCTTGAAAATTAGAATGACATTATTTCAACTAACTTAGCTAATTTATTATTTCTCAAGATAGTCCTCAGACAAAGCGGCGTTCTACCCCTGCTTTTCTTGAAACAGCTTTTCAGAAACGTTTCAGCGTAAGTATTGCGATCTTCGATCTTGAAGACTCTTGATCTGATCTAAAACGTGTTATAACTCAATGAATATCTAAAAATAACTTCTTATCACCAGTGAAGTGTCCAGATTTCCCTAACGCAATTGAAAAATTAGAATTTAGAATTTAAAAAAGGACTTCGGCTTTGGATGTAAGGCCTTTCGTTTCGGATTTGCTGCACACTTCTAATGGTGAGTGGAAGCACGCAGATTGCTCGTTCACTGCAAATTCCCAATTTTACTACAATGGAAAGTTTGGGGAACTTGTACTTGAAGGTGTTTTTTTTTTCAAGTGTTTTTCATTTGTCAAACAATCTTCATTTGAGTCGCACTCCCGTGCATGGGATGTTCCTCAAGCACGAGTGTCCGAGTCAAGTGAAAAACACTAACTTGCCAGAGGTCTGTTTCATCTGGGATGTCTTGCTCAGAAAAGTACGAGTCTCGCTCGATATCGGATGGAGGTATTCTTTTAAAAAAAAGAACAGGCTTATTATTATTTTTGTGGGGGGGGGGAAGGGGTGGGAGGGGGAAGGGGTGCACGATGTATAACTGAAAGCCATCGTGCTTTACTTTGAACGTAACGTCGCGGTGAAAATGTTTAGAATGAGGAGTACTTCTAGGTTAATCAGACACCCTGAATCGAATATGCCAAAATGGTGACGTACTGTTCTCTGCGCGAGACCGAATGTGACTGGTGTATTGAAGTAACTAGATGAGACACCCACCAGATCTTACTGTTAACGTACTTTAGGTTTGAGGCTTTCGAGATATTACATTAGGGATATGACTGACAAGCGTGTAAATAAGTGTAAGCCTCCCAAGGTTATACGTATTTGCTGACGCGACAGGGAGGGTTCAGAAAGAGAGTGGGTTAGTTGGTATTCCAGAATAACGATGCAGTTAATGGCCTAGAACTCTTCTTGCACTTGTTACATTCTCATGTCGTAAGCCGAGGCCAAGGGTAATATAAGATCGACCGAAAGAAGGAGAAAGAATTAGTTCTTTTATGGATGATGGGCTGGAGAATGCTGACGCGGCGTTCGCCATCCCAATCTATGTGTTAAGAGACAATGAACGTCAACACATTGAGGCTCTTTTCTTGCTGACTCCTTATATTTTGTTGAAGATTGGCATCCAATTAGTTAATATTTGGTGTAGTTATGTGGACTACCATAGAAAATGGGCCATGGCTCACATGCCGACACACATGCTCTCATGAGAGCCAAAACTCATATTTTTGTCGTGCCACCAGTTTAGGAGTTGGATATGACTGATTGCTGATGAACTAATGTGCCTGCTGCAATGACTTAGGCATTTGATCAGCATTCCTCTTGCAGAAAAAAAAAGTTTAATGCTGCATTTCATCAATTAGCCTTAATTTTTCCATGTAAGACCTTGTCTTCAAGACACTGCATTCTTTGGTTTAGTCAACAAGGAAGTATGTGGGCGATATGATACCCTAATCAAGATTTGCTTATGTAGGAAATCATTTGTGCTTCTTTGCAAATTATTTTACTAACTGGAACCTTGATAAAGTAGGCTTAAATATGTTCAAGCATGCAACATATTGTGGGCATTCAGAAAATGGATGTCTGTACCTACTCTGCTAATCTTTGTTAAACACATTGCAATCCCCCTCCATCACCCAGGAGAGCCAGATATTCTCATCTAAGAGGTACATTCAAGAAGTAGCAAACATTGGAACAGAGCTCCTTCATCTCTCCAGGATCTCTATTATGAGTGTTTTATAAGTCATGTTTACTCTGCACTTGCATGACATTTCAACTTTGTGTCTAATGCTTTTTTTTTTAAAGAGATTTTATGATTACATTTGGTTGAATCAAATATTTAGGAATTGCTTGTTTTTATTAAAAGAAACAAAGGGCTGCTCCTCTCAAATTGCTGGACCCATCTAGGATCTGTGCCTGCTGGAGGGCAAACCCTTCTCAGACTTCTTCCAACTGCTTATGAGTGTTTGCTGTATTATTATCTTTAAGAGTGAGAATTTATTGACAGTTCAACATTTGAAAAGTTGGTCTTATTTAATCAGTTAATTTAGCCAACTCTAAAACAACGAGTGCCATTTGGAACAAGCAGAGATTTCTCATTGCAAAAGAAATGTAGTTATTAACCTTTTCTGGTCAATATTTCCTGAAAATTTAAACCCCAGTGAGGTCAGATTTAAATGCCCCCACTCTGGGTGCTTTCACCATATACCATAAGTATATATATCATACTATGTACCATATGTGACACAGGACTGGACTACCATAACTTTATGTCGGGTGGCCCAACAGGACTTGCTAGGAAAAAAATTCAAATTTTGGAGTTCCCCCAACAGTATACTGAAAAATGTTAAAATATTCAGCATTGAAATGCTCTCTTTTGAATGCACCTCATATAACACCATAGGCTATGATGGTTCTCTTGGTATTTGAACATTTCCTATAGTTTTCTCGCCTGATCCGTTTCCTCCCTGAATTTTTCATGGAACATCATTGACTGTTTATATATTTTTTTAAAATGAACTCTTTGCTACAGGTCTGGGCATAATATCAAGATTTGAAAGTCCCTCATAAAATTTTTGAAGTGGAGAAATTTATCTTTCTGCATTTTTGGAGTGTATGAAATAAACCCATCCATGGTGAGTGGTTGCTACATAGTTTTCCAGGCATAGGCCTTACCTAAGCATATGTTAGCTCAACTTCAGGTATGTTATGAATGTTGTATTATACTTCTTCACATGTAGCTTCTTTCTGGTAATGAACAGTTGGGTTGAAAGTGCACAAGAAAATGTGAAACTCTCATTTTGACAGTATGGGCCAATCCTGTAAGTTTAGAGCTTCATTTTTTCCCCTAATATTTCATTGGTTATGTTCAGGTAAAGTTTCTTGATTACAGGAAGACTGAGGATAGAATTATGATTTATAAATCCTAGAGAAGAAAGAATAAGCCAGGTCTACAGAGTGTGTTCTTACCTTGCCCTCAAGCCGAGACAAGAACAAATGACAGAAATATATTTTATGTTCTCTTTGAACGTGGAGATGAAAACTACAAAATCTAATTCTAGGGTTGAAGGGTTCTTAGGATTGGCTGAAGTTGAATGTATAGGGTGTACCAAAAAATTCCACCCCAATTTTTAATTGCACATAACTCAAAAACTATTGAAGCCACAGGCTCAAAAAAAACAGCAAATTAAAGCTTGTTCCTTCTTCTTTAAAATAGTCTATAGGTTCATTGTAATACATGCCATGGCCATTTGAATCAACCATGACCGAAAAAAAAGTTGCAAGGTGTTGCTACTGCTACAGGCGCCTTTGTTTCTGTCCTGCTATGAAGAGGGGAAGACACAGTTCAATGGCTGGCTACTTTTTCACCCTCCCCAGTCATCTCTTGCTAATACCACATCATTTTTATGCTGAAATGTGCATGAACAGCCAACCAGCACTCCAAGCTTTCAACAGAGAAGCTTAGCTCACTTCACATTGTGATCCTGCAGCAACGATGTTTTCTCTCTCATCCACGAGAAATTGCTGTGTGCATGCTTCATCTCAGCGTTAGTTTTCACTTTCAATTTTTTCAATTTTCTTCCTCGGGGCCAAAAATGACAAGTGTCCACCATGGGTTTTCAGAAAGTGATAAGGGTGAGTTATGTGCAATTAAAAATTGGGGCAGAATTTTTTGGGACACCCTGTATATAGGGATGTATGGCACTTATCTAAATAAAAGCATTCGCTCATAAAGTATACAGGATATGAATGTACTAATGTAAAGAGAATGGGTATATGCAGATACTTGATAATCGGGTAGGAAGTATATTTCTTTTCCTGTTTAATAGAATGAATTGACCCCTCTAAGAGGGATTGCAAAAGCATAACTCATAGATTACATTTTTGCAGTCTGTAATGAAATTTCATGGAACCTCATTATTTAGAGGAGATACTCTCATGAGTTTCTACTTGCTAAAGGTAAGTCAAAGTCCAAGTTTACAACTACAGCACTGGTCTACTCACAAATATGAGCATATGCTGGCATTAAGAAGGATAATGTTGTATACCATTGATTAAAATGAACCTTTCACTGTGGTAAATTAAGTAAATATCTGCCAGTAGCTGAAAGGGAAGGAGAGGAACATGCCTAGCTCATGAAATCCTTGCTTCATAGATCAAGTGAATACAGGCATAGCCTAAATAGAGCACATTTGCTTCACTGGATTATTTGCTATTACAGGTAAAACTAGAGACAATCTAAAAGTAAAATTATCCTTCTCTCCTCCCATGGGTGTGAGAAAATAGGGAGCTGTATGTGTTAGGAACACTTTTTGGATGACAGTAACCTTTACTGGAATTTTTATGTATTTAAATATTATAGATATACAAAAATATAATAGGCCTTTAAGAAGCACATGTTCCTTGTGTGGTTTTATGCTAATAATGTTATATTGTTGAGAAAAGAAAAGGAAAGGCAAAATGGGTGAAAAAAAAAAATAGGTGAAAATCGGTCACAACTAACATTAATTCTGCCTTAGTTGTTTGTTCAAGAAATTAACCTGAAGTGTATTTATTCTCTCTCCATTCCAGGCTACTGTACTAACTGCTGTTGACACTGGCCATGAGAGCATGATTGTGAGTTCTTTTCCCTTCTCCATATTCAAGTTAAAACGTTCTGGAGTTGTAGCAGAAAAATAATGGAATATCTCTTTCTATTATTAAGGAGAACGTTTGTCTGGGGTATTTGTCCCAATTTAATTTTTTAGAAAGGCATTATTGGTGTGACAGGCTAGAAACTAGCACGGAATTCATATCCATCAATCCCCACCACCATTCATATGGAAAGTATATTTTCATAAGGCAGTAATTAAGTCAGCAAGTTAGTACTCTCAGGTATTATCAAAAGCTAAGTAATATAATCTCAAAAATTCTAAGATTTCAACATCCTGAAGAAGCATTCCATCAAAATGTCAACCTCTTGGTCAAAATTGAAGTATGCTAGAAATTCAACTTTTAATGTGTAAGTAATCAAACTTTTAAGGCTACAAGTTTGCCAATTATGGATTTTAGTTCATATGATTTTCAAGGCTTCTTAAAATGATGTATATAGGCATTTTATAACTCATGGCCATTTTTTTTTTGTAATTGGCTCCACCATAAACCAAAATGCTTGTTGTTGGGTTCTATGAGCCGAGTAAAGAATACCAGATATTAATGAATCAGATCATATAAGACCCCCTTGAGACCAGATAAGTTGGTCAAGCCTGAATTGCAACCATTGCAATCATAGCACTACTATTACTACTAGCAGTAGTAATAGTAGTACTTATTATATTAGTGAATTTTTGTAGTAGTATTTTAAATAGTGAAGAATTTTGTTTTCAGCAATAGGAAATAACAAAAGGTCAAGATTGAAAGTCTCATAGGACAGTAGGTTTTGCAAGAACACTGTATTGAAGCAGTAGATTTGAAGAAAAAGTGTCAGCTAAAAAGAAGGCTTTCATGATGGCAGTTTTTGAAACATTAATGGATTTGCCTGAACCAGCAATGGTGTATCAATATTCCAACTAGGCATGAAATCTTTTTTACTCTATAGGAAATAAATTTGAATATTGCCTTGGAAGAGTCTGGTCCAATATGGTGGAACCGTGGTGGAGGCCATGGTTCCATTCAATGAGAAATAAAAACCCACTGCAGGCAAATAAAAGTGGCTTCCCTGGAGTGTTAATTGTTACCTTATCACTAGTATACTTTCAGTTATTTTTATTTCTCATTCACCATCTATAAGTGGTCATTTCTTAGCAGATAAATTTGCATGAATTTCGTGATTATTTGATTTATTGACAACGTGATTGTTTCATTTATATAGCATGATGCTCAGATGGACTATTATGGTACTCGCATGGCAACTTGTTCTTCAGATCATTCAGTGAAGATCTTTGATGTGAAGAAGGACTCCCATTCCCTAGTAGCAGATCTTCGTGGACACCAAGGCCCTGTGAGTCCTCATACAAGTTCTGATTTTTGCTTACTGATATTTTATTCATTACCATGAGGTGAAGGAAGGCATATACTCTCCTATTTGGAAGAGCATAGTAAGTTCTAAATAATAGTTTTGAAAGCATTCATGTCGACTTGAATCATCAATGCAGCATTGATGCTGCAGCTGACTTTATTTTCATTGATAATGTGAATAAGGGGAAGAAAAAGAACGGAAACTCCCTCATGCGAAAATTGTATGCTTTCAGGTGAATCCGGCATTATCAATCCCCTTGCACCAAAACAGACTGATAAGAGAATTAAGAAATAATGGGGGGGGGGGGGACCTGTTTCTTGCTTCATCTTGCCTCACGCTGATTTCTGTCAGTTTGGCACCTGGTTCCTTCCATTTCACCCGCGTTTTCCCGGCTCATTTGAATCCTTTCACAAGCGTGCACACGCAAAATTTTTTAGCCGCATTTCTTCTCTGCCCGCAAATGCCTTGTGAAGCCAACGATGCCACCGACCGTGTATTGCGACAGCTCCAAGTATTATCAATATTCTGCACTATTCTGCGTTGTCCGCGCTAGCCTATGAAGTCTACAAACTTACCATGATTTGAAAACATATGACAGGATAATTGGATGTCATTGGTATACTTAACTCATATATTCTCATGCAAGAGAAAAATTGACCAAAATTACCTAGCATTGACCAGGCTAGTACTAGGCCTATGCGCATCTATATGACTGTGCCTTATCTTGGAGGAAAGATTAATTTCTAACGAAGGATGGCCAGGACATGGACATGAAACAGTCATGTAAATGAAAATGGGTGTGGTGGAATTTGGTCTCAGGAGAGAAAAATTAAAGGAGATATGAAAATCATGCTTTTTTCATTTTCCTTAATTTCATCATCAGATTCAGATTCCTAGCTTTGTTGAAAAGGTGCTCTCACAATATTGGTAATCGCATACAGTATCTGAATAACTCGATATCGTTACATCGCGACTAATTTCTGGCACTATTGTTGCCCAGTAACCACATAATGTTTGATGATGAAGAATTCTATTTAAAAGTCGACTCAACTTCTACAAGTGTAGTATTCTGTCAATTTTACTTCTATGCTAATCTGATAGTTGTATGCCTTTTCTTACGGAATTATAGGTATGGCAAGTAGCTTGGGCCCATCCTAAGTTTGGCACCCTCCTTGCTTCATGTTCGTATGACAGGCGAGTGCTCATTTGGAGGGAGAGGGATGGAAGGTGGGAACAACTTCATGAACACATTTCTCATGATTCTTCGGGTGAGTTTCATGTTGATTACTGTTTTAAACTTATATGGAATCTGGATTTTTTTTTCAATAATTATGCCAAGGAGCATTTCAGTGTAATTCATAGACAGCCGTTGTAACGTGGCAGGTTGTCGTTTTTCGTGCATCCGAGAAGGACCGGGGTTTTAAACAGGTCTTCATAATTGAGCGGCCCGATCGGTTACGGCTCGAAATTATTATTGCTCCGAGTTTAAAAGTGCGGCCGCTCAGATAAAAATAGTACTGACGTTGTAGTGTTCTGTTTTTCTCCCTTGGCAAATCCTCAATCTACGGCAACTGTTATATTGTCGAGAGAATAGCAGAGAAAACTGCAGCTATAGAAAGGTGGCAATACTTTAACTGCACTGCATTTGGCGGTTGAACTCGTGTGTACGTCAGCTCACGAACTTATTATAACAATGAGGACTGAGAAAGAAAGACAGAGCGTCTGTCTTTTCGTAGGAAAGAGGAGATCGGAGGAGGTACAGGTCGACTCTAGTTAGTACGCAGCCGCTTAACACGGACCTCCCTTTAGTATGTACAAAAGTTTGTGATCCAGCTTTCCCTTCATAACTTCCAGTTTCGGTTTGTATGTGTTCGCGTTGTGCGGACCTTCGGTTAATACGTACTACTTGAGACGTTTTCCCATTAGTACGTACATACTTGAGGTCATAAATCACAGCATATGTACAGCATTCTCAGCGTCAGTCAACGGCCGCTTTAGTGAGGCTGCTGCAGCAGCTAAAAGCCTCACTATTCAGGGTGGGCCATAAGTACCTATACTCCTGACTTTATTAAGCATCCTAAGGACCTGTATGTGCACCATCATTGTCCCGACATAAGATAATGCGTCTCTTGGTTCTATGGGACGTTTTTCTTGGCATTGCAGGGGTGATTGCTCTAAAAGCTTCACGGGTCGCATCCATCAGTTCCTTTTTCGTCTGGCAGCGCCTTTGGGACACAATTTCCTTGACGTATCCCCACAATAAATGATCACATGTGCTGAGGTCAGGGCTTCTTGCTGGCCATTACAGTGGTGCTGGAGATGTCGGAGACCCACGACCAACCCAAAGAACAATTATTGGGGTATAGGGACTTATGGCCAACCCTGCACTTGTATACGCAGAGGTTTCAGTGAGGGGGTTTGAGTGAATGGGTAATATAGTCGCACACGTGCGGGTTGTAATTGAACGTGTACCTGTTGAAAGTAACGAAGTTCTGGCAGTGGATATCTTGTCGGAAAGTAATTGCTTTCGTAACAGTAAGGTTTCACTTACACGATCGTTGTCAGAGTTGTGCAGGTTGAGGGTTTACTGCGCCCGTAAGACAAAACTAGTACAACCAAAAATGGGTTGCTCCAAACCCCTTTTACCTGGTGCTTGGACCAAGAAGATTGCCATTCACTTGATGAAGAGATGGCAATCATTACGAAGACTGAGAATGAGGAAAAACAAGTGGACGTAGCGTGGGACTGGTGAAGAAATACAATTTAGTCAAACCTTTGCTTAGTAAGTACTCGTTTAGTTGGAATATTCGAGTACTTACGAGAGTCAACCTGTATGAAAAATCAAATTTTATGTCCGTTAGACATGGAAGGGATTGAGGGAATTTCCTGTTTTCCTCGTGCTAAGAGCCATGAGGTTCCCCCCTTCTTTCATCTCCGCTGTTTTCAGGAATTCTCTAAGCAAGTAGATGTTATCCGTGGATGTGCAGAAAGTGAACTGGGTTGAACCATAAGAGTAGGTCTCTTTTCTCCTCCCCTCTTGTTCTTATTCGTTTTTTTTTGGGGTGGGGGGGCTACGATCTCGGAATGTCGGATCTCGAAGTCGGACAGACAGACTCGGGGAAGGTCTTTGTGACAAGAAAAATTTGCCTATGATTGGGTGGGGAGATGTCAGCAGAGAGGGTAGTTTGTCTACCATGACTTTCTTTTCCTTCTTCGTCCATTATTCACTCCCCCCCCCCCTCCCTCTGGTCCTTCCCCTTGCACTGTTTCACTAAAAAAATATACGACTCTTCAGGTATATGCAAGTTTTGTTTCTTGTCCGCCCCCACATATTTCTCCCTGACGGTACCATCAGCGATGACATGGACTCATCGATGCATAGCGTCAGCCTAATAAATCATGCCCTGTACCGGTAAAGAAAAATTATTTTACGAGGAAACAAAAGATTTTCATATTTTATTTTTTAATATGTGACATTGCTTCGATGTAAATTTCTTAGCGGGAATCGATCCATAAGAAGGCACACCCTAATTGTGAAATTTCATGGCTAGAACCCTCAGGATTCAAATCAAATCCAGGTCAATGTTTTTTTTTAGAAAAAAAAACATAAAAGATGTGGCATTGTGATATTGTGGTGCGTATGCGTTGACAGGTGAGAAAGTATTTCATATAGAATTCCTTCTTCATTTATCCTCAACAAAGCAAGGGGTGGAGGGGGACAGATGGAGCTCTGGATACATCCAGTTGGAATTCATCCCCATTATCTTGGGGTTCTCATTGTCATGTCTTAATTTTTTCATGGCATTTTATTATTTTATTTTTCAATGTGTTCAGAGCCAATATATTAGAAAGTTAACTTTTTCTTTGGAATCATGTATCAGGCAGGTATACTGATAAATACTTGTTTTACAAATTTAATGGTACCAGTATAGTTTGTGCTCTATCATAGGGTGTAATCTACCTTCCACTCTTCTAGAAAGAAATGGCACCAGATTGGATTATAAGTGGTATATGTTATATCCTATGATGACATTTACAGTCCAATCTGCTAAGATAACTTATCCTAATCTGCTAAACTAAACTAAACTAACACTAGGTTATGAAAAACTGATTCTTCCTATAAACATGTTGTGATGGTAGAGTGCACACTATGCAAGCATCAATTTAATTTCCATGATTCCCAGTTATGTTACCTGTCTCTATATAGAAATAGCAAATGAAAGAGAGTTACTTAGCATGTAAGGTTAGGGGATAGGTCCTCTGGAACACTGGTTCTCAACCATTTCAATCCTGCAGTCCACCTTAACAACTTGACAAAGTGATCTAAGGCCCACTACAGACTTAAAATCTATATAATTTTTGTTTGTCCAGCTATTGATTGTTATTTTTTAATTTATGGGTACTTGTTGCAGCCCATCTACAACATCCCCACAGCTCACTAGTGGATTGAGAAACACTGGTCTAAAAGACTACAAATAAATTGCCATATGCCAAGCCCTGTTGTGAGGGGTAACTTTACAAATAGCTGTGTACATATGTTTGTGAATCACTATAAAGTTGATGAAACTCTTCTATTCCAGTGAATTCAGTCAGCTGGGCACCGCTGGAGTTTGGACTCATTTTGGCTTGTGGGAGTTCTGATGGTTCAATTTCATTCCTGAGTAGCCAAGATTATGTCTCTTGGTCTGTCCAGAAGATTCCTAATGCTCATACAGTAAGTGCTTCCATCTATTCAGTATTTATTGTGGGAGCCAGAAACAGATTTTTACTTCCAATCAACTTTCATTTTTGTGAGTGTCAGTAATTTGACTCTCCTGTTAATTCAAACAGGAATGGGCCCAACAGAAATCCCATGGAAGGTATATGATGTTTCTCCATTTAATCGGAATGCCCCTATTCAATAATTCTCATTTATTTGAATGAGTTCTTAAGTCTGGTGGGGTCATTTTCCCTGTTAATATGGACTTACAAGCAGAGATGAATTACAACAGAAAAAAATTTATCCTAGATCTCCCTTTCCAAAAATTGGGTAACCAGGATTGCTCTTGTTATTGAGACTTACTATCACTCTTGACTGTCACCTCCCCTTTCTCCTTTATGTCTTGCCCATCCTTTTCATTATAACCTCGCCAATCTTACTACCCTTCCATCTTGAAGTGTTTTTTGTGATCTGACAGGAAAGGAGGGTTTTTTTTTTTTCAAGAGTGAATTAAGTGGAAAAAATTGAGATTTTATTGATGTAACTGATTGAAAGCAAAGTCAGTGTTTCCAATCACTGAAGCTTTCTCAGGATTTGCAATTTTCTTCACCAAGAAAAGAGGTTAATGATTGGTTGCTTAGTTGGGTTTTCAATAACCCAGACAAGTCCTTAATCTGACAAAACCATCATTCCTCTTAAGTCCAGATTGATGAGAGTTGATTGAAGTTTCTTTGCTTATTTTGATATCTAGCTAAGAAAGGATTTCGTCACACTTTGAACCTTACACAAGTCTGCTTGCAATTGAATATCAATTTTATGCTTTGCAGTGGACATATCTTTGCTAGATGCTGCCACAGTACCTCTTGAAGTGCAGGCCACCATTTTGCTTCATGGATGCAGTAAAAGTATTTTAATGTTTCTTACAGTAACTTTTCAGCAAGCATCATGAGTACTCTGATAAATAGGTGGAGGAAAGGAAGTTGTTCTTGCTGTTCATGCAGATTGCTAAAACCATGGCATGCACCATTAATGCATTCATGCTTCCAGCCAGAAAGCCATCCACCACAACTGAAATGGGAATATCATAAAAGTCCTTGACAAAAGTGACATTGCAGCAGCCTACTCACATTTTGCAAGCACTCAGTGGTGTAAATGTAAAGGAACAAAGTTGTTGCCAGTTATAATATGAGAAATCACATTTGTTTATTTGCTTCAGAGAATCCTTAAATTACCAGATATATCTTCACATTTTGGATCATAGCAGTGATGGCTAGAAACTCATTTAGATATGGTTTCCTTACTAGTTACCAGTCAAATGTATTTTCTGATAATGAAAACCATTGGTTTTAGGATTCATTGACTTTTGAAGCAGTTGGTGTAAGCAATGATGGGGATGGGTTAGGTGGTTATGATTGAAATTGGTAAGCAAAGGCAAATCTGTGTAATTAGAGAAATGAATGTGAAGATGTGAGATATGGGTATGATAATCAGTATTTGGGAACATGACTGCCTCTCTGCAGCATGTCATTTGTTGTAATGTACCAAGTATTTGGGATTCCCAATTAGGAATCGTGTAAACTTACTGTTTTACTGTACCAGTATAGCATTTGCATTGACTCCACACCGGAAAAGGAATGGTATCTTAATTCTCAAGCTGCTGAGCAGCCATGGGTTGGATCGTGACCAATAATTGATCATCAAAATGGACCTCATGTTAGATCTATGTCTAGGTCTATCAGCATCTATCTGCAGAAGTCAAATGAAATCCAATCATGATGAGAGTGTGACAAGCTCTGGACACTGGTAATATTCTATGGCCTGTGCTTATAAATTACTGTACTTGTTTGAATCTATTAAAAAAATTTGCCTATTCAATTCTGACAATTGGCAGCCTAATTTTCAAGCCAGGTAGCTAGGTTGTTACTAGTTTCAGGGATGATTTATGAAGCTCTTGATGTGCATATTGAAATATATATGTAAAAACCAATGGATATCTGTATGACCAGATTTTGTCTGGTGAACTCCTCCTAGCTTTCTCTACCAATTTCCATCATCAATACCTCATATAATTTGTAATTTCCAACAGATGGTCTAACTCATTTTAGATTTTTTTTTTAGAGTTGACCTGACCCGGATGACCTTTTGCATTAATTCTGCACACAATTTCTAGCCTGAAACCATTCCACACCCCTTGAAATTCTTTATTAGAATTTCTTTTCACATTGTAAAAATGTTTGACATTTGGTCTTGCTACAGTCAATCTGAGATGAGAATGCACTGGCACCATCTCTGTATGGATTAGATAACTGCATTGAGGTGCTTGGCCTAGACCTATTTCAGGGATTCTTTTGTAGGCCTGGATGATTTTCACGTTTCTGCCCATTGGACAGCTTGCGTAGCAGCTGCATGCTGCTAGTTTCAATATACACACTCAGAGACAAAGGTATAGTTCCTATTTTTCAGTGGGAAGGCATGAAGGATGGTATTGGTGTTCTTTTTTTTTTCACATGACCCTGCCACTTTTCCTGACTGCCATCTGAAGCAGTTTTCATATATAGGTGTTAAAATTGCATTTAAAAAATGAGACTCAAGTGGGAAAAAAAGTATATTTGTAGATGAACCCTATGTGAGGATAGAATCCCTTGCAGTGACCATGCTTAACTCAGATGTGATGCAGACCAATTCTTTTGCTTCCTTCAATGTTTTGTTGGGATGAAGTGAGAGGGCTGTTTGAAATGAGAAGTAAGGAAATGCTCATGATTGCTAATCTTCCATTAGATGACAGCTTGGCAAAATTTGATTTTTGGAATAAAGGGTGCCATAGTCATAAGTAAAACTTGTGAGTGGCTATCCCTATCCTAGCTGCTTTCCCTAGTGATGTGATCTTTTGATCATTCCTTGCCATCTGTTCCTATCATTGAGCATAATTCATGCCTTGAATGGCTCACTCATTTGTAGAAAAAGTGAGCTGGGTACTGTCATGAGACAGGACATTTATACCCTGATGACCTCCATTATGATAACAATCCTACATAATATGGATGGATCTGCAGGACATTTGGTACATGTCAGTGGTGGCTGGTGATATTCAGCAGTAATGGATCAGCATTGGAGGTTGGCCCAGGCCTACCCTGCCTTCAGTAAGAATACACTACCACCTCATGGCTATATAGACAGTGTGGAGTTTCCATCCAACAAGGATTATGCTTGAAAGACTCTTCAACAAGAATCTTTGCTGGAAATGGTGGCCATGCTGATACATCCTGCATAGCTACAGTGTTTTTCACTTCAGTTAGACAATTTTTCACTTGACTAAGACACCGATGCGAGGGTTATTCAGAGAGGAGACGAGGGCGCTGGTGCCCCTGGTGACTAGCGACATCTTTCTTTCCTTCGAATATTTAGGCTTTTTCATATGAATGAAACTATGT